TCTTAGCCATAGTAATCTGAATCTGCTCTTGCCCCTGCCCTCAGCTGTTTACATGGAAGGGCTTCAGCTCTGTCCCCATTCTGTATCTCCGTGTCCTGTGTTATGAGGATCAGTTATACAAGGAGAACTAGGACCATTTTTGATATATTAATCACACACATCTGCAATATTATTAACATGAACAGATCAATGTGAGTTGGCAGGACTCAGGATGAGACCCACTTCCTTGGGAGGGTTTGGCTCTTGTATAACAGCAATGTGAGGGTAAAGAAAATAAATCTGGAAGGATCTTGTCCAAGGAGAGCCAAGAGAGGAATTTAAATAGGCTAAGTTGAGAATGGGCAGAATGCATTTCTTGCAGCTTGCATCAAGACATTAGATAACCAAGAGTTCTTAAAAGAGGAAATTGTTTGTGGCAGTGTCGCTTGTAACTATTTGTGCTTTGATACTGGAAATAGGAATGTCACATCTATACAAAGTCGAATTATTCCCTTTAGGGAACACCAGATTATTACTGAGCTGCTTGTTTTCCTGGAGACGTTAAAGTGAAGAGTTGCAGAGGAATTTGTGCTCCCCCCCCTTTGCCTCTTAATGGCCTTAGATAGTTTAACATTATGAAAATTATTCCTGCTACTTTTCAGATTGGGGATGGACTTGTGTGGTTTCCCTGTTGTTGCTGCAGCTGCCAAAACAATGCAACAGCAATGGGGCTTCCATGTGACATGTTTCCCTGCAGTCACCCTCTCTCTCTCCCCCAGTAGGGGGGCTTTTTTTTCAATCTGCAATTAACATATCTATATAACATTATAGCGCTCTCTCTGTTGGGTTCTTTGAATTCCCAACTTTCATTTTTAAAAGTTAAGTCTCCAGTCCATTTCATTGTGGAGATATAAAAGGAAAGGCATGTGTGCAACCAAAAGACTTGCTTTCTAAAAATTGACCCTGGGAATTCGGAGAACCTGATAGACACATTGTGATAACATTATAACAATTGGTTGATTTCCAATTACTGTTTTTAAAAGCTGCCATAGGGAACTGTAGCAGGAAAAATGGTGCTGATACGTACGTAACTAGGAAGATGTGGACATTCCTGTCCATATGGGTGCGCACGTACACGCCCTTTTCTCTGCAGTCTTTACCAAAACATCACAGCAAAGAAGGCTTGGCAAAGAGCACAGGAAAGATGGGGGAAACCTGGGAGGTGGATGGAAACACTGCAGTGTGATGTTAAGGGGTTGGGGGGACTTGCTTCCCAGTAATATCCAAGCTGGGGCAAACAACCCATGTGTTTGCCAAATTCTTTCTCTTGTTTTTAAATTCATCATGCCGATGTTTCTTCTTGGGCTACAGCCAGCTCAATTCACTGTGCTGCCCCAAGCGCCTGTATTGCATGATCCAAGATGTGTGCCTCTTTATTGCAAGAGGTCTAGGAGCATATCTGTGGGGCTGCCTTGCTGGTGCCCCCAAGCAATTGCATGAACAACTTGTAGTTGTGCTTGCCCTGTTTGGTTATTCTCAAGATTTCTCTCTTCCCTCGTTATTGCTACTGTTCTTGTTTCTGTTCTGACATCGCACCATGGACAACAGCAGTTTCCTGCAGTGACCGAACTGACAAATTGTAATTCACAACCAACCAGCAATCTGAAACCATGATTTAAAGTCCGTTTGCAAGCCATGCTTTGCGCTAACTATAGATCTGGCACGATTTCTGAATTAAAAAACATAGGCAGTGCCTTTGTTCTGCCTCCCAAGGCCACTACATGAAAATGGGCATGGGGGATGTCTAAGCCCTGCTTTGCCTTCATGTTTGGAAGTCCATATTCTGGTTTGGGATCTGAACTTCAAAAACGAACAACTTAATGCTTACAATGTTTTGTTCAAATGAATAAAAATGTATTAGCAAAGCAGGAGGACACATCTGGCTCTCAGAAAGTGCTTTCGTTGACAGGTCACCAGTTGTCTCTTTAACCTTTCCCCATTTTGCTTGCAATACTTGTTTAGGTGGCCGGCTTTGTCCAGCGTTTGCCAGGTTGCAAGGACCAGGCTGCATTGTTCCGACAAGAGGTAAGTGAGCCTGGTCTGTGTACATCAAAAGGTCTTGCTGTTTCTAAAGGCAGACAGGACAGCCTGTAGAGCTTTATGTACTTTTCCCTTAAAAATTTTTAAAATAAAATCTATGCACCATATAAGGTACATTCTTCTCAAAGAAAAGCAAAAATGCTGCATTTATTATGCAAATTATGCACGTCTGACATTTTTGTGTTTCTGGGAATATATGTGTTTGTAGTACTTACGATAGGCAAGGAATTATATAGGACACACAGACAATCCACAGGGACGTGAGAGGTCACTTCATTTCCCTGATATCTCCTTCCCCACACTATTCCGTCTTTCTCTCCTCCTGCCAGCCCCCATAGCCTCTTCCCTTTCCCTGCTTCCTTCTCTGCTTCCTAACTCAGCACCAGCCTTTCTTTTATCTGCTCCCCCCACCTCCCCTTCTTCAGCTTTATTATATATTTACTTCATTTATACATCCCACTTTTCTCCCCAGTGGTGATCCCAGTGCACCTTACATCACTTTCCTCTCCTCCATTTTATTGTCACCCCAATCCTGTGAGGTACATAAGGCTGATACGTTATTTAGTTACAATGTCCCACTTTCAGTGGGGAAATCATTCCAGTCCTTATGGGGTTCACCATTCCCACCTTACAGAATATTCCTCCTCCTGCTGTTTATCGCCCTGATACTGGACGTTGTCTTCACAGCTTTCCATCCTTCACTTCCCCTCTCCCGGGGTGGTTCCTTCCTGTACCAACTAGTAATATGTCAGAATTCCCCTTTCTAACCTCCCCCAGATATTGTTTTCCATACACTTCCATTTCTTTTCTACCAAAAACAAATCAAAGCAGCCACAACTTGCACAGCCAAATCAGTGACGTTTATTACTTACACTACATTTATCAATATACTGGGTGCCAAAACAGAGCCATACAAGCCACTGTTTGATTCAACTGGATCAATTTACTTACCATTAAAATAATTAAAAGCTTTGAATCCAAAGTAAGGTAGCCAAATACTGAGGCCTTCCATTGGTGCCCAAGGCAATCTAGACAGCAGTTTCTTTTTTCAAACAAACCATAATCTAAGATGGCTACAACCCCCTTTGGCCCCCAGTGGGCTTTTCTTCTCATGGACTGTGAACCCCCATTTGTCTAGGGATTTGTGGATTCTCTTGTTTGCACATTTTCCTCCAGTTCCTTCTAGTATTTTATCAAAAGCTAAGATTACTGTTATGTGTAAGACCTCTGGACAACTTTTAAATCTTGCTAATGCTGCAGTCTCTTTGGGGAGACCATTTGATACCTGCAGGGTCACTCTTTAACCCCATAGTGTTTCTTGATACAAACCAAGGGTGTGCCCCACTACCCTGGTTATCCAGCTGCTATTAGGGTTCATGCTAACAGCCATTTTTCCAGTAGTTTGCAATGGTAACACATATTTTCATTCTACAAGAGTAAAAGACTGCTCTTACGCTGCCAGTTAACGTCAGTGGTAGGTGACAATGTTCCCTCTAAGCCGTGGAGTCTTGTGAGCAAAAATTCTACTTTTTGAGCTACTGGCATTAAAACTGTGAGCAAGCAAGTTGGCTACTACATAAATTAGTTTGCTCTGGAGCCATCCTTCCTGAGCTGAGACAAAAATGTGTGAGCTGGAGGCTAAAAAATGGTGAGCTATCTCACACTAACTCAGCTTAGAGGGAACACTGGTAGGTGACCCGCACAGTCATCTGCAATTTAATTCTCTTTGGCAGCTTCAGTTCCTGTAAACCCACAGCAGTTATTGCTGTCTGTGGAAACAAATTGGGGGGAAATTCAGTGTGTGAATTTTTCCTTGCGAAGGAAAACATTGGTGATGGAAAGTGCTGTCAAGTCGCAGCCAACTTATGGTGCCCCTATAAGGGTTTTTAGGGGAACAGACCAACAGAAGTGGTTTGCCATTGCCTGACTCTGCGTAGCAACTCTAGACTTCCTCGGTGGTCTCCCATCCAAGTGCTAACGAGGGCCATCCCCAAGATGTGATGAGACTTGGACTAGCCTGGGCCATCCAGGGCAGGGCAGGAAAAACAATTCACTGGTAATATTTTCCATGGTGTTAATGGCCCTGGGGGTCATGTATAATCCCTAGCTGCACCTTCCACTTTGGGTTTAAATTATGATGGTGCTGCCTATTTCTGCTTCCCATGACCTGTTACGTTATGGCCCTGTTATCTGCAGTAAATCTTTGGGAACTAGCCAGTGTACACATAAAGAATGGATTTATTTTTAATAAATAGCAGCTGTACCATGCAAGGGTTAAAAGTGAAGGAATGCTTATTGGTATTGGTTTTTAAAATTCTGCAAAGCAGGGATTGGTTGCACTTCTGACCCACTGGCTCCTGCTTGAAATGCTAAAAACCTTATTTTCACATTTCTAACTTTCTCTAAAAGGGGGAAAGATCTATACTAAAAGGTCTCTCTTATAGCTCGATTCTGATATTTGAGGCAGCACTAAAAGTTTCCTCCATTTTATGCTCACAACAACCTTGTGAGGATGAATGGCCCAAGTTCTCCCAGCAAGCCTCTTTGGCAGAGTGGAAGTTTGAACCTGAATGTCCCAGATCCTAGTCCAACACTCTTAACCACACTGGCTCTTAAGTACAATTTCACTGCCATTTTATCTTTAGGCCTCAGTGTGCTTCTAGACACAGTGACTCCTGTATTTATCCCTCAGAGATTCCAGATAAAGGCTGCTAGGCCCTAGATTCCCTTCCTGGCATGAGACAGTTACATTTCTCATCCAAGCTAAGCTAGGCTGAAATTAAGCCAATTTTAAGACCCCTCTGGCTAGGATAAGGCTTTGGGTGACAGAACTGCTGAACTCTGCTATAACACTCCATTAGCAGCAATTGAGCTGCCCAAATGTATTGTATTTAGGTAAGTAATGATAGGGAGTGGGTGGCTATGCTTTAATTTTCATTTTATTTACTAAATGGCCGTAGTTGAAAAGAGAATAAATTTGTGCAAAGTATGATAAAAGAAAGCCAAGTAGATTAAACAGAACTGCTAGTAAACCATAGCTAGGGAGTGATGCCAGCATCTTAGGACCATGTTCAGATGAGGTCTCTGCAACTCCATGCCTTGGTAGTTCATCGAATGGAAAGGTGTGAAAGGCCACACGTCAGAATCCAAACAGTTTCTGTATTGTTGTCTCTTATTGACATGAAGGTTAGTATTTGGAAGTTGTTTACAGTCATTCCGGTTCACAATCCAAAACCAAACCACAGTCCATGTAACACCTTTTATTTGGACCAACCAAAATGATGCAAAACAATTTGTGGAGAACACCCAGACTGAGAAAGAGCTGTGGAGAACTCAGAAGCTTGCACACTGTTCACTGTCATTTTGGTTCGTGCTAATAAAATGTATTACATAGACTGTGGTTAGTGTTTGGTCATCAATTTCCCCCCACCTTCTTTGGAGCATATAAAGTGTTTCAGCAGCCTGAAGGCTTTGCCAGTGTCCTTTCCCTTCAAAGACTCTTCCTTGTGTCCTTTTCTTAGGTCCTCATCTTACCTTCAGTCACACAGTGAGGAGATTCTTGTGCTGTGGTGGCAGCTGTTGCAAAAGTGTTGTCTTTAAAATCTGCATGACTAGTTAAATCTCCAGTGGCCGATGAGAAGCCTTGCTAGGTGAAAGCCCTGCCTGACCCTGGCCACTTTCTAAAAACACTTGGCCAGTGTGCTGTAGTGGTTAAGAGCGGCAGACTCTAATCTGGAGAACCGAGTTTGATTCCCCATTCCTCCTCCGCATGCAGCCTGCTGAGTGGCCTTGGGCCCATCACAGTTCTCTCAGAACTCTCTCAGAGAAAAGCAGGGTATAAAAACCAACAGGAGTCTCCATGGTGCCCATGGGCACCACATTGAGGATCCCTGTTTTAGAAGGCTTCCCTGGATTGTGGGGGGAGGGGGGAATCCTTGCAAACAGAATTGGGGGGGGGGGCTTTTCCCACTGTTGAGCTCGTTTCCTGTTTACATTGAGGGTTTTTTTTAAACAACTTTCCTCCATATACAGTCTGAAGTTGTACTGTCTATTCTACCACCTCAGAATCCTGCTGCCTCTTTCTTCTACCTGTGTGAACCAGGCTGCAGTTCCAGAAAACAAGGAATAGTGAGGTTGTGACCTGCCAAAGGACACTGTGAACTCTTGAATGGATATAGAACTTCTGGCTTTGAGGTCAAAGCCTTTTATGCATAGCTGTACAGCCTGGTTAAATGGGTACCCTACTTAGCTAATTCCTAGAGTTCACCATGCCTATTAAACATATTTGCATAAGCTGTCGTTTTGGGGACACTAAGCACTTGACCTTAAATATGTCAAGCGGCAATGGAACTACTCTGTATTGTATAGTACATTGGAAACAAATTCTAGTATGAATATTTTATATTCATATTTTATAAGTTTGCATATAATCTGTCATCCTCACTAGTCCTCTTCAATTAAGACTTGTGACTTCTTCAGCATCCCTGCCTGGTAAAGCAGAGGCAGACAAAATGTCCTTCGGGAATGACCGGTCACTCTCCAAGCCATTAAAAGCTCTCTATCCCATCCTGTCTGCTGCTGTATTCATTTCACTGTACTATTCCTCCTCCTTCATGCAGTTTCAGTGCCAAGGCTATGAAAAGGCTGGGCGGGGTCTCTCTCTCTCTCTCTCCTCACTGCTCACTTCTTCAGATATCTGTGCTGTTTTCTGCTGCTACAGACAGACTAACATAGCTACCCATCGATGTATTTGGATTCTCTGCTCAGAATTCAGTCCCTTTCTTACTGGACACAAACCAGACCTCTTTTAAAAAGTTTTACTCCATAAATTTCATAGATCAGTCAAAACATCCAATGTGGCATGACCATATCCATACAAAAAGGAGAAGTTAAAACTATAAATAATCAAAAATTGTAAAAAGCGCTCAGTGAGAAAGGAGAAGCAAGACAAGACCAATCATCCATAAAGCTTCTTCTTAAATAACAGTATTCTAGAATTAAATTAAAAATGTAAATGTTAAAGGGGAAACTAGTTCACATGCAACAATATTACCTTTCTCCCCGTACCTGAGACCATTATATAATTTCCGGTTGATACTGTAACTTCCAGTAGTCTGTTCACCATTAATCTGTACAGTCAAAATTTCTGATCATAACAGTGAGTAAAGGGCATGTAATTGTATTTTATCTTAAAACTTGTTGCAGTGCTTTACAGATAATACCCACTTCTCAGTAAGTTTGTAATTATTTATTGTTTTACAGAAGGAGGCCACTCACAAAAGGTCCATGGCATATTAAGCAAGGGCTCTGGTGTCATGGTCGAACCACCTCCTTTGCATGCAAAGAAAGTTGCTGGTTCAATCCCAGGTGTTCCCAGTCAAGCCAGGCAGCAGGCATTAGAGAAAGACCTTTCTTTGCCTGAAGCCTGGGAGAGCCACCCCAGTCGGTGAACAGTGCCAAGCTTAAACAGGCCAGTGATCCGATGTGGCACAGAGCAGTTTCATACAGGCCCTAATTGAAAGTGAAATGGTGTGGTGGGAGCTTTTAGCAGGTGTAGCTGATTGTGTTGCCAGTTCTCAGCCTTAAGTCCTTCTGTCCCGCCTGTTAATTGTAAGGCCACAGAAGCCATCTGTCATTCATCACAATTACTTTATTTCCCTTTTCTCACACTCCAGCAAATCGATGGCGAAGCCTTCCTTCTCCTAAACCAATCAGACATTGTTAAGATCCTGAGCATCAAGCTGGGGCCCGCACTGAAAATATACAATGCCATCCTGATGTTCAAGACAGCCGAAGAAGCGTGAGACAGATCCCCCCTGACCCGGCTGGGGCACGAGGTCAGACGTTCGTGCAGGAGAAGAAAGAGAGCATCCATCCGCCCCCCCACAACCAAATCTGAATAGGCTGGGACCTTGGAAAGGCAGTGGGGCCTTAATTGTATTTCAGACTGACTTGGGTAGAATCTGCTGAAAGGATCCCGAAGAAGAAGAGGAATCCCTTCTGCCACTTGGAATGAATGCAGTGGCTTCCCTTCTAGGAAGAGATTATTAATTTTTTTTTCTAATTGAATTTTGGATATGGTTATATTGATCTTTTGTGAAGATCTTGAAGACACCTCCAGTTATAAGAGGAATCCCAGGTATTGCTATTGATGGGGAGCCGATCTCGATCAAGCAAACTGACTTTCCTGTTGACAGTGCCTACAAAAAGAAAGTCCAAGCTGTCTCCAGAGTCCTTGATGTCTTCTGTCCACACAGAGCCTTGAGAGGGGGGGGGGGGGGGGGGTTTAGTAGAACAGAGAGAGTCTTCAAAGCAGTGTTGTTTGGTTCCTAGTACTGGGAAATTTAGGCATTTCTGTTCTTCCCAGGCTAGTTTGAAACCTTTCTTTTTCAGCTATCCAAATACCGGCATTTAATTTTGTTGTTGTTGTTTTATAAGTCCAGCAGTGTTTGCTTGGGGAGGAAAGGGGTCCACATGAAGTCCATCTCCATGTATGGTGATTGTGCAGTTTATCGTATTGCATTGTTTAAGTGCACAGTTAATAAAGATCACAGGAGAGGGCTCATCAGAAGGCAGGCCCATCATTTGAGTGATGGGGTTCTTTCGAATGAACTGTACAAAACATACTGGGGAGCCCTGATAAAAGAAGGGGGCTGTTTTTAAAAAATGCCTGTATGATGAATGCATTCAGCACTCTCTCTCTCCCTCCCTTTCCTGCCCCTCTCTTTTCTTGCCAAGAAATCTTACTTGGAAAAAGATCCAGTGGCTTTAGAAGCATTGCAGGTTTTTATACACATAGCTGGCTTATCCGCTGACGTATTGCATGCAGTTTGCATCTCTTCTCCGCTAAGCTTGCAGTCTCTTAACCATGGCTGCCCTGCTTCTTTTCTGTTTGTTTCAGTGAGGCATGCATGCAAGGCTGACTCCCACCTTCTTAAAACAAGTGGATGCCCTGAAGCACCATTATTCTTTGAGCCAGATGCACAGAAGTCTCCGTGCCTATTGCTGAAAGCAATGGAAGAGTTTGGGCCCCAAATGGGCCTATAGTCTTTTCAGTCTTTGACTATTTGCCCATCTCACTGTGCAGAAGATCCGTTACCCAGATCTCCTGCACAGTACGATGGGCAAATACTTTATTGCAAGAGGGGTTTTTTTGCTTCGTTTACTGAAATGGATAAGACTTTTGGATGGGGAAGGGGGATACAGGATGAGGTTTCTGCCCA